GTGCAGGCAGCAGTGTCTGAGCTGCACCCAGCTGGGGCTCAGGTTACAGGAATCCCACCAATGTGACAACTGCCCATGGACCCACGGTTGCAGAGGGGAAGAAGTGGTCTGAGGGACCAAGCCTTGATATAGCCAAAGGACACAGTAGCTAGAAAGAGCCCCCCAGGCAGCGCGGGGCACCCCACAAGATACCAGGAACATAAAATGCAGGACACTGCTCCTTTGCCACAGCCAAGTTCTCCACCCGCACGTGGGCCTGACCACACCGGACAAGTCATCCCCACCTCACGTCTCGGGCTCTCGCCTAAGAGGTAGGCTGAAGACACTCGCCCATGAACCTCCACACCCAGCAGAGACCTGGATCCTGGCCTAGCCCTCAGTCTGAGGTTTTCCTCAGCCAAGGCCCCAGCGCTCACTGGCGTGCTCTCCAAGAATCCCTTCTCACTCCTGGCTGCCCACCCCTTCATGGGAAAAACATCTGCTCAACGGGGAGAGACTGACACAGGGCTTCTCCCACAGAGACCGCAACCGGGAGCCTGTGTGAAATTAGGCAGTCAAGGAAGAGGGGGCGCCCACTCCCACCCATGCCCAGCTCTGTCTCAGCTTCAGCCAGCTGGGCTGCTCGAGACACACTGGCAGCAGAGATGGAGGCTGCCTTGGGCCTGAGGTCAGCAAGCGGGTAAGAAGTCCGTAGCACAGAAGCAAATGGATGTTTGGGACCTCCCGAGAGGGCAGCAACAGAGCCGATTTCTATCAGGACAACTTTGAGGAGCTGCAAATTTTGGCTTCTGGAAAAAGTGCTCCCACCACTACCACTAAATTCATTCGCTGTGCCTGCCATGTCCAGGACACAGCACTGTCCCTCCCTGGGCGCAGTCCTGCTGTCGGCCTCTGCTCCCCACCTCGCCACTCTCTCTCCTCTCCGGTCTCTGAGTCACCAGTACCCAGATCCCCCTTGCCCAGCTCTTGCCTCTGCAGACAAAAAAAGATGACAAATGACCCAGACACACAGCACATCGGGCAGTCAGGAGCAGCGGAGCCTGGAAAAATGAGGCTTTGTCCAGAGATGAGGAGGGGCTGGCAGGGTGTCTTGGCGAAGAGGCGGGTAGGGCCGTGGCCAGGTCGGGACACTGGGACAGACAGCTGGTCTGGTGGGCAGGTGGCCAGTGGGGCAGCAGGCCTGTGACAGTAAGAGTAGTGGATGACACCCCCAAACTGCTGGAATAGGAGTCTTCTCCGAGACAGAATCAGAGCTTCCCTGGAGGAGACAAGGAAGGAGATGATCATCAAACACTGGGCGAAGGGAGGAAGGGAGAACACATGTGCCCACGGCCAAGGCCCACCGAAGATGCTTAGGACCGCATGGTGCTAAGTACAAGGGTGCCAGACTTTCTACAGCCTGAGAAGTTGGGCATAAACATGAATTTGGTGAACTGAGGTGTCTGAAGTACAAGATGAGAGTTGGAAGTCAATATCAGCATCCCCATTTTCTCTTCTGTGTTTTTCATAGATCAGGTTTTTCTAAAATGGGCTTAGCTTTGCCCTTCGCCTTGGTTGCAACTGTGACTCACACCCCTGGAGCCCCAGGCAGGGTAGAAATTCAGATGGGTCTCTAGTAACTTCACTCGCAGGAGATCAGGCCTTGAGGTGAGCTGGACCCAAGCTCCGTGCTCCGCTGAAAACCACAAGCTCCCCTGGCTGAGGCGAGGAGCAGAGGTTCTCCGTCAGGCCTTCCTGCACAATGTTTAGGGGGCTAAGGCATGTCTGGATGTGCGGGGAGGACATACCTTGGCCCAGAGCCCTAGGGAGGCTCTGGGAGTGACATAGGGAGTGAAAGGCTGGAGCAGAAAAGCAAGGGGGCAAACTGAGGACTCCCCGCTCTAGGGGAGGAAGGTTGGTTCTAGGCCCCTGCCCCTCAACCAGGCTCCTCTGGGGCAGGGAGATGGACTCAGTGAGTCTGGCCCAATCCTACAGGACAACCCTTCCCATCCACACCTGAGGCCACCTGCCTTCTTCCTGATCATAGGCTTTGGAAGAGGCGACTGACCCTCCCCAGCTGTCAGGATATCTCTGGCCATTCTCAGGTTATCAGGCCAGGTGGCCATAGCAGGATAAACACTTCACCCACCTTTGACAGGCGAAGGGCTCCTCTTTCACATTAGTGACCCTGTGTCAAGAAAAATCCATGTAAGTGCTTTATAAAACTAGACGACATAGTCCCCGCTGACTGCAGCTTCTGTGCACTCAGCTCTCAACGTTCCAGTGGTCTCAGGAAGGGACTGGAGGCCCCAGGAACCAACCGTCCACAATTCACATCTGTGTGTGTCCAAGGATGTGCCTCTAACACAGGACGTGGTGTGGCAGAGGTGGCCGGCGACCCCCAGGCTAATAACAGCACCATATGGGGACCAACTGCATCACCCCCAGATCTGACCAGAGCTTTTCCTCCCCTGGTGGGATGTGCCCCCAGGAAGGAAGTCTAGCTTTTGGAAGAGGCTGAGATGTGGGATGCTGTCCACCCCTAGGTCCTTACCGCACTGGAGCTGGCGTGACTGAGCTTATCAAAGCGGAATTTCAGGTTTGACCTCGGGGAGTTTCTGCTTTTGGCATCTAAGAAAAAAGACAAAAGTCCATGAAAAGAGGNAGCCGCAGTGAGCGGCCGTCCAGAAGCCGGCGACTGATCTGCCTCACCCGGGAAGAGCACAATGATGGTGCCAACTTGGGCCAGTCAAGCAACATTCTCCACAACTAGACTGAAGAACAAAATGACAGCAACTTGTCTGTCCCCCTTCCCCCAATTCCCCAGCACTGTTCCCATCCCCCCAATTCACCAATAAAAATCTTTAAAAAAAAAAATTCAATTGTGGTCAGTTTTTAAACATCAGCAACGAATTGAAATTTTTTAAACCATTTTTCAGGCCAAAGTAACACATCCACAGGCCAGATATGGCCGGCCCATGGGCTGCCAGTATTCAACCTCTGGTGAACGAAAAGAAGCTGCTCAGGTCGGGGCCTCAAGCAAAGAAGTCTGAACACTGATGGACACAAAATATGTTATTTATTGTCAATTTCTGCAAAGACACATTTAAGCAACAAAATATACATTTGTTGACCTTTTAGAATTTGTTTTATACATTAACAAATACAATGTTCTACCATAGCAATAAATTAAATGTACACTATTTACATGACATAGGCAGTCCGAGTCTACAAATCACACCTCAGGAAGAGGGAAAAAAGAAAAGTCATCATCACATGGATCATTTCCAAGCTACACTTCGTAGGTTCTATCACACAGAGGGATTGCTTCACACTGAAACGCCAGCACTCCCCGGGCTGGAGTGTGGAAGAACACCAGGACAGGGGGGACTTGGCACACATGCTAAGGAGCGGAAGGGGGGCTGACCCTTCCAAGCGGAAATGTCACAAAACCAAAGATGATGGCACTGAAATTCCAGTCTTCCAGCCAAACAGCCTCTCCCAGGGCTGATAAGGCACAGGACAGAGCCGCTGCCCCCAACAGCCTCTCATTAGGCAGGGCTCTGCTGTCCTTGGCCCTAGCGGGGGCTGTCTCCTTCCTCCCAAAGAGGCACATGGCCAAACTGAAAGGAGGGAGACTCAGGGTTGGGGTGGGCAAGGGGCTGGTGGTGAAACAGATTTCAGAGCTCATAGAAGAATGCCCCAGCCAGCTCCCCAGCAGGCTGCAGGGATAGCCTTGACAAATTCCACTGACCCACCCTTGCCTTGGCTAGAGGCTGGGGGAGGAGCCGGAGGGTCCCAAGCACGGCTGACTGGCCAGGTCCCTGCTGGCCACCGGCAGCGATAAAATCTACCTGAACCCCAACCATTCCCCCACAACAGACCTGTCTCTGTTGACTCAGAATTGAATGAAGAAGGTAGTGTTTGCATTGGCACCTTGAACAGTCAGGGTAAGAAACTGAAACAGGCTCTCGTCCCACCTCGTCCCTTGAGTCTACATTTTTACTAACCTAGCCACCCTGTGTAAGGATCAAGGAGAATCAAAGATTTTCCTTTTATACTTTTTTTCTTAACTTGATAAGGGGAAACCGAAGGTTGGTTAACTGCATCTCTGCCCTGGCCTCTGTCCCCCTTACAGACCACAGTTGAAGAACCGAGGAACACAGATATCACCGAGGAACAATCCACTGAAACCTCTTTCCCTCCTCATTTTCTTTGCCTAAGCTGCATCCAAAACCCCAGGGCCCACACTACAAAATCTGAGAATGTCCCTCCTGATGAAAAGAAAGGGAGACTAAGGCCCCACCGGCACCCTTGACTGCTGATACCTCCCAGTCAGTGCCAAGACACCAGCTAAGTGGCTCCTCAAAACTCAGGGTCCCAAGAAATGCAGCCACTTGTTTAACCAACCACGTAGGCGATGCCAAAGCAAGGGCCCTGAGTTGTGGGTTCTAACCCCAGCTTTGCCACTAGTTGGTTATTTGACCTGAAGCGAGTTATTTTCCCCTCACTGGAATTGAGGTCTCTCATCTGGGAGATAACATGGTTGGATTCGGTGTTAAAAGAGGCCTGGAAGGCACCGGCTTCACGATGATACTGTCAAGGCTGAACCACAGAATACTTTTCAAGAAATACCATTTTCCATTGATGAACATAGACAGAAACTCTAGCTAAGACCTTCTATCTCTAGCTCTTTCTGCATCAACGGAGCAGAGGCATCTGGGTGCCCTAAAGAGGCTGACAAGCAGTTTCTTCCGTGAGTCAGGCAGTTCCCGGAGGCAGGGACACGTCCGGTAAACACTTCTCCTGTGTCCAGATCACACGCAGAACACCTCCAATACCAGCATGAGCACCTCGGGATGAGTCTAGTCACAGGGGCCGATGAGGCGGGAGCAAATCTTTGAGTCCCAAGACTGGGATCAGCAATAAAAGGAAAGACATTTTGGGGGCCAGAGAGCATGTAAGAGGAATATGGAGGAGGCAGCGTCCAGGAACTCAAGCTGCCTGCACCCACGGCCCCGAGGGGTGAGGGGAGATTCTCGGGCCTGTTCTCCTTCTCCCCCTCAGCCCTGGGACCTCAGGGGGGCTGGTCATGTCCACTATTGAAGCCATTGGATGGACTTCCTCGAGATGGTGACGCAGGACCCAGAAAGAGGGACATATCAGATTCTGCCCGGAACGCCGCCATGAGCAAACAGAGGCTAGACACCCCTTCTCAGGTCTGCTTCTTACGGCACAGGCCTGAACTTTTCCGTTACCCTGGACAAACCCAGCCATCTTGGCCCCTGGCTCATAGGCAGAAGCAAAGCCCTCCCAGGAGGTGGGGGCTGCAGGGGGCACGGCCAGAGCAGTGGGGAGAGGTGGGTATGAGGTTCCCAAGTGGACAGAGGGGGCAACCTGGAAACCCCAGGGGGCCCCCAGAGCACAACACAACACAGCACAACCACCACACAGCTGTAAATACCAGCTCCCCAGAGAAGCGAGCCAGAGCCCTGGAATCGTTTTGAAAGAAATACGGTGTGACCTTCCAAGTTCCTTTAGAAACCCAGCCGACAGAACGCTGCCAGGATCCACGGGCCTCATTCCAGCAATAGGTGCTGCTACAGGGATTTTTCATAAAAGCTCAACAGACATTTGTTGACTTTCTAACTAGAATAAATTTTAC